AATCAAATTACTGTGACAAGTGTGGATTCACTGCAGTGAAAACAATTCACCATTTATGTTGCCACACAAACATATAAAGCCAACATATCAAATAATGAATCTACTTATAGTAACCCATCCTGTAAACCGCATTACTCTTTAATCAAAAGTAAACCAATATAAAGTGTCTCAACTCATGCATCCTTTGTGTAAGGTTCCAGTGCCAAAGTGGCTCCAATCTTCTTTAATCAGAAATAAATGTGTTACTTCCCATCACCGTGCTCCTATATCCAAAGAATGCCCTCACTTGACATATAGGGCTGCTATTTCTAGGATAAGACACATCCACTTTCCTTGTAACATTCAAAACATGCTCCTCCACAGCTTCTTCCTCAGTACCAGAGTATCAAACCACTTCAATCCGTCTCCTCAAAGTCAAAGTTCTGATTCAATTCACACTCAAAACAGAAGGATTAAACGCCTCCCATTGTTTAGCATTTTTCACATCCTTTATCATCCTTTATCACAGATCTCCTTCAGCTCTTACACCAAGTAGCTATCATGTACTAGGAAACGTTTGTATGCCCTGCCCAGACGCGTTTCATCATGGGACTTCTTCCAAGAGGTAACGAGTGTTTACACGGTTTACACAGCGGATTACTATAAGTGGATCCATTATTTTATATGCTTGCTTTGAATGTTTGTTTGTGTGGCAACATAAATGGTGGATTGTTTTCACTGCAATGAATCCACACTTGTCACAGTAATTTGATTCACGTGAGGGATCTATATTGTGATAGATAAGTTGATGTGTGATTATAAGTGCAGACACTAGTGCAGTGCAGGTGTAATATAAATGGTCTCTTATTTGCTCTCTGGCTGGCACCATTTTTTCTATTTCTTTTTTTGGAAGAGATTAATGTTTGAATCAAGGTGAGAACACTCTCTATAAACCATATATTAGACCCTTTGGGTCATTTCAGAGCTTTTTTTATGTCGGCAATTCAAACAACCTAAGACATCCTTGAATATACTGTATACAGGCAGTCCCCGGGTTACATACAAGATAACAAGATAGGGACTG